AAGAATACCTGCCCAGTGACAACAATGTTTTCCATCTTGCACATTTTATAGTAGCGTTCTTCTGTCTTCATGAGTCTACACTCTTAATGGAATTGCTTTTGCTTCAGCCAAGTATAAAGACACATAATTATCCAATGAGATGCTATATACTAACAGCTTGGATATGTGTTAGAGAGTTTAAGATTGCAAGTTTCTTCCTTGTTATATATTCTGGACAAAAGTAAAATAAAACCAATTGTTCCTCATTTTGTTTTTTATAGAAGCAAATTTATATTTTAAAAATATAATATTGTACATTGATCATAGGAAAGGTCAAACAATTAAGAGAAGAGGTTATAAATAATGGCAAAAACGAAACTGGCTAAATATTTCTTCCAAACTGAAAATGCAAGCTGAACATTATGGTCCCATGATATAAAAATAAATAAATAAAACAAGTAGGATATTATGCTATTTAAATAGAATAAAAACTAATGATGTATTCTTCATAAATGATGTCCAAGTCCCATAGCTATTCATCATTTTGACTGCCTGTTGTACTTCATCTTAAATTGATGCTGATTTTATGTGACTACAATATTTCTTTTAAAATCTTAGCAATATTTTCTAAAATGACCCAATCCTATTATAACTGATAAGAGATGTAGAACAGGAACCACAAATGCTAAATTTAAGTTTCTATTTTGCTTACTTTGTTTACTTCGGCTTGAAGGTATAATCATAATGTAAGTAATATATGATAACCATTTCCTTAGGTGCACATTTAAAAATAACTATTATCTATGATGTATTAACGCTTGCCTGAGGATTCAGAAAGCAAAGCCAGGCTCAATAGTAGAGATAAGGCAGTGGTAGTACACACTTTCAATCCCAGGACACAGGATTAAGAGTTAGACAGATCTCTAAATCCAAGACCACCCTAGGTGAATCATAACTCACACCTTTAATCTCAGGATTTGAGAGGTATAAAAGGTAGAGACATTCAGTCTGAGAGTTAGTATCTAGCCACATTGAGGACAGAATAGCACTCTGAGTGAATCTGAGGAACAGTGAAGTCTGGAGCAATTTGAGGTGGCTCCTTTGATCTGAGCTGAGATAGAGGTGGGAGCCAATGGCCAGCCGCTTAGCTTTTCAAGGGTTGAACTCAGATATCTGTCTCTGGGTCTTTTATTTTCTTGCTAGAAATAACGTTTTGCATAAAATGATTCAACTTCAGAATAGAGAAATAGTCCTCTTCTGTTTAGCTTCCTATTTCAGCACTTGCAACATTATTGCAAATGCTTCTTAGTTTTTCCTTCAAAGGGCACTATACTTTCATGGCAGCAATGATTATATATTGTATTTACTCTAATTTACTGGTGCAATGTCTGAAGTTAAGAGTAGAATACTAAGTGAATAAATGATGAATGGTGCTGTATGAGAGCCCCTCAAAAGGATTCAGAGTTAAAAATCAATTGCTTTGACTCTGAACCAGGAAACATTCAGTCAGAGAAGGAAGAGGAGTCACTTGCCCACAAGAGAGCCAGTGGCAATACAGGGCCCCTAGTGGAATGGAAGTTGCTGTTTTTAGTGGTAGAGTTAATGTTGAGGTGTTTGTGCTGCAAAAGATAGCTTAACAGCCACATCTTCATGTTAAACCACTGGGTTACACAATAACAAGACAGGAAAGCATGAAGAGGACTTGTTGAAGGGAAATATTAGTCAGGAGGAAAATAAGAGATAGATGAATGAAATTGTCAAAAATAAAATAATAAGAACAAAAACAAATCAATTGCTTAAGATTGAGTGTGATAAGCTGTTAAAAATAATGACATCATGAAATTTGCAGACAAATAGATGGAACTAGAAACAAATCATCCCAAGTGAGATTAAAGAGTAACCTTGCTATAACCCATAGAATAAGAAAGGCTATGTAACAAAGAGGGCTAAATAGGGCACACCTGAATCTTTCTGGCAAGGGGAAATAGAGATTTTGTGACTGGACTTAAGGTGAATGGGGATGGGACCATGATGGATTGGGGGGGCAATGGAGGTGAAGAGTACTGAAAGAGACTACTGGGGAGAGCAATTGAGGCTTAGTTAAAACCCTGGCTAGATGGGGACTCTCCCAGGAATCTACAATGATAACCCCTCCTAAGAATCCCAGCAACAACAATACATAGTCTGAACTCACCATCATCTATGACCAGTGGAAAGAGTGGGAAACCAACCCTGCCACACCACACACACTTTGACCTGGTCTGTCCTGCTTATGGGATATGCCGGCTTAGAGACTGAGGGAGTGGCCAATCAATGACCAGTATGTACTAAAACTCATGCCAAGAGAGTAAGCTTACACTTGACACCAGGAGCCCGGAGCACCAGGACCCACAGGCTGGATGACCCAGAGACCTAGGATAGAAACAAACATGACTAGAGGGAAAAAAATAAAGAAATATAAATGTAATAATGCCTAGTGATATTCTGCTATAATCATAGATTAATACCTAGCTCAGTAGTCATTAGAGAGGCTTCATCTAGCAACTTATGGAACAGATGCAGAACCAGAGTCAAACTTTAGGTGGAGAGCTCTTGGCATCCTGCAAAAGAGGAGGGGGAAAGATTGTAGGAGTCAGAGGGTTCAAGGACATCACAAGAGAGCCCTCAGGATCATCTAGCCAGAGCTCATAGGGTCTCACAGAGACTGAACTGACAACCAGGGACATAGTTTGGGACTGACACAGGCCTGATTGGGGATGTTCTTCAGTATATATGTTTCTCTTATTGGCTGATAAATAAAACACTGTTTGGCAAATAGAGATAGGAAGATAAGTGGGGTGATAAGATGAGGAGAATTCTGGGAAAGGTAGGCAGAGGTCCCACCAGAGAGATGGCATGTAGTGGCTAAAGAAGAATCAGGTCCTGGCATTCTTTGGTAAGCCAAGATCAAGATGGAAATACTTAGATTTATAGAAATGGGTTAATAATTAAGACAGTGCTAGCCAATAAGAAGTCTTAGCTATCAGCCAACAGTTTAGTAACTAATATAGCATATGTGTGCATATTTGGAGCTGAGAAGGGCAGCAGGACCTGGCAGAACAAGAAAATGACAGCAACATAGGCCTTCTGCTTATATGTGACAGTTGTATAGTTTGGTCCTTTTGAAGGAAGCCTAACAGTTGGAACAGGGGCCTGTCTCCAACTCTTTTATTGGCTTTTGGGACACTAGTCCTAATCCTGGGTCACCTTGCCCAGGCTTAATACATGCTTAATCATAGTGCAACTTAATATGCCATGTTTTTTAGCTATTCATGGGAGATCTGCAGTGTCCTAAAGAGAAATGCAAGAGGAATAGATTGGAAAGTGTGAATGTAGGGAAGGTGGGGCAGAGAGACAAGGAGATGAGAGAGGAAAAATTGCATCTGGGATGTAAAATTAGATGGGTAGATACATAGATAGATAATAGATCAATAGATGATAGATAGGTAGATAGATAGATAGATAGACGGACAGACAGATAGACAGATGATTAAAGACCACTAATTAAAAAAAAAAAAAGATTCAGTATAAGAGAAAGCTGAATAGGGGAATGTTTGGTAGAGATCATTTTTAATCTACATCCATAAGAAGGTATTTTGTCATATTAGCTGATGACTATCAATATTACATTTCATAGACAACAAAAATAAAACAGAGTCAGCATCCAGAGAGTTTTGGCCTTGCTCAGACTCTTAGCCTTTACAAATGCAATTTATTTTTATAATAAAAAAATTGTATTTTTCCAGCATAGTCTGCTTCCAATGCATTTAAAGTTTTTTGTTAGTTCAGTTTTTTTTAGTAACTTTCTAGAATGTGAATTTTCATTTCCCAAAAGTCTTAGTACTGATTTAATGATGTGATTCACGTGACAAACATCTATTTTCTTTGCTTCATTGCTATTAGTGAATGACAAGTGAAGGAGATTTATTTTAACTTGAAAATGTCAGGTATGCACTTTCGGAGATATATTTTTTTCAGCTTTTAATGAGGTGGTGTTTCTTTTTGAAGGAATACTCATCTCTGATGCGGATGCTGTGCAGGTGACAACTGATATTTAATAAGTGATGGCTCTTGTATTAGTCGCAGTTCGCTAAAGAAAATGTCTCAGATTGCTTTTGAAAAGCTCGTAGCGTCAGTAGCCCAAAGGCAAGATGTGACCTTTTTATTACATAATGAGAATCATTTATTATCTTACAATGTATCTTAAAGTCACAGACAAAATGCCACTTTGATAATTGCTTTCAATTAGCTTTGAGCATAGCATATATTCATAAAATGTCTTCTCTAATTTAGAGTTGAATTAGAGAAGATTGCAGACATAATCTGCTTTAAGGTTGTCTCATTTAAGGTGATTCGTGGCTTCATATCACAGAAATCAACATGAGTAGCTTTAGAACAGTGCCTCTGAGTGTCTGTGGCTTCTCAGCATCTGATCCTATTGTATCACCAATTAATTAACAAATTAGAAAGATCATTTCTGACCTTTCATGCATGCTAACTTTTGACTTCCATTTCTAATGATTGTTTGGAAATGAAGCCTTGAAGCTCGTGTTGAGAGAGAGAAACAATCTGATTAAAGAGATAAATAAGGTTCATGTAAAGCTAAGTACCTCCTAATGCTAGGCCATGTCAGGACTCTGAATACGGTAATGGTGCATCTTTTCCTGTTTCAATAATAAGTGACTAGTATTCAAGAAATGACACTGGGTAAAAGGAAAAGTTCTGTGAGACTGAAGTAGGACAAGTGACATTAGACATAACATCATATTGAAATCGTAACTTCAACTAATTTCAATTTTGGGTTAACATTTGTGTATCGCTGAAATGTATATCCTTGTCTTTAAAAAAATGTTTGAAATCATGAAACTCTGAAATTAAATTTTAACCTTGTCTTATTTTCGTTATTTGTGATATTTAGCTGCAGAGTTTCTCAGAACATGGTATTCTGTCCTCCTTCACTCTTTGGTCTTTCTTTTTCCTAGATAAAAATTACACACAAGAACCAAGCCCCAATGCTGATGGGCCCTCCCCCCAAAACTGGGTTGTTCTGCTCACTCATCAAAAGAAGAAGAAACCGAAGCAAGGAGTGACCCCCCCATCAGGAGAAATTTGAATAATATGGGCCATGCAGCACTTTGAACCATTTCAAGTCTTCTGCTCTAACAGAATCTAACAGCTTTTGTTATTGAATTAATGTAAAATTTTGGCTATTAGAAAATCTATTGTCTCTGTTTTGTATGTATCTGTGCATGAAAAAAGTAGGAGTTTATATGGCGTGATGCTGCATATTTTAGTTGCATGCAATTCCCATAGGTTTTTCAGTCTCCCATTCATATCTTACCCCATTTCCATTTACAAACTATGAGGACAAACCTCGGGAAGAGCAAAGAAATATCATGGTCAGTGATTTTTGTTGCAGTTGTTGTAATTGACAAGCACTAATAAATAAGGCTGCAATGATCCAAAGTGCAAACCACCATCTTTGCCCTGCTAGAATCAGTGTGTCCATGGTATTAGACCTGTGACTCAAGGAGACATTTAAATCAAGGATTTGATTAAGTAGTTGCCTATGATACCATGCTATATCTAAATAGTCTTTCTTCAACATCTTTACTCTTCTGAATGGACATTAAAAATCAGGCATAAGATTTTTTCTTGTGCTAAAAAATAGAAAATGTTTTTTGTTTAGCTTTATTTTTCATTCCAAAAGTGAGTGAAAATATGTTACTAGAAGTGATTGTGATAATATAAAAAAAAAAAAGCTTAGTTCTTTCTGCATGGGAATGTAGGCACAGATGCTAATCACACTAGTAGCCAAATATATATTTTAAACTAGGTGCCTAATGAATCTGTTTCCCACCAAAGAATCAGAAAATTATAGTTCTTATGAGTTTAAGAAAAGAAAAATGTCAGAAGAGAATGAGTTATCAACTTGTTGTATTAAAATTCTCACCATTGAAAAAGAGTAAATCATATAACACAATGGCAGTTCAACAGCCAATTTCTTGGCTATTTGGTGCCCCTAACATATATGACTATAATTTTTAATGGATCTGTTAAATACACTTCAAGAAAGCAAGTGACTGCATTGGTTCTCTTTTGAGGTAAATTGATACCTGCAATAATATTGAGCTCATCAAAGCAAATCATGCATGCAATTAGCTCCTTACTACTCGTTCATTCCAGCACCATCTCTATGACATTTCAAATGCTTGGGAATATATAATGGCCTAGATCACTGTTTAAGGTGTTCATAGCATGGTGTGGGTCTCTGGTTGTTGAAAGAAATTGTGGCACTACTACTTTCCATAGTGTTTCTTTGAGGCTATTCTATGAAATGAAGTACTTCTAAGCAGCCTCAGTGTAGTTCAGTCATACTCACCTGAGTCTCACCACTGCACGTTTTGTTTTCAAACACGCCATCAGGAAAAACGTATGCTTGAAATGCATGATTTACCAGCTTTCCTCTCTGCTCTGCATTAAAGTGCTAATGATTTATCAGTTCTATTTTTCTATTGATTCATTCATCGTTGAATAACAAATAGCAGTTAGTGATTCTGTTGAACACAACCCTGTGCATGGATTTATTGATTTCAAGTGAAATTGCTGTAATTTTAGTCCTCCAGTTTGAAAACTCAAGTGAATGCTATTGTATCAAATAGCTGCTCTCAAGCAATGTTCTGTAATGGAAGAGTATGTATAAAGTGTATTCCTTTAGTATTCCAGGAGCATTGAATGCTAAATACCAATCAACAATAACTTTAATTGCTTTAAAAATAAAAGTGGTTGAATAGAATTCAGACATAATTTAGCTTTCCCAGGAAAATTATGATTAAAATTACAAATCCAGTACAGCAATCAGTTGTCCTAACATAGTAATAATAGAATAGTTATTCAGCATAACAGTACTCTAGACCAAAAGAATGTTCAAAACAATGGCAAATGCATCACTGACATAATGTCACATAACTCATCCATTGTTGTTGTGCATCTATGACTACAGGTAGTAAGTATTTTTACAGAAATTGACGAGTTTTTCTATAGTGGGCAGGCAGACCTTGCACCAAAATATTATTCTGTATCCCCTAATTTTATGTTCAGGAGGACACTTAGGTAGCAGCAGTTTCTCAATCATTTGCAGCACCTTTGCACTGGGAAAAAATTGCAGAAAATTAAGAAACTGGCCTGTATGGTTTCAGGATCTGAAACAGTGGACTCTGCTGCATTTCAGCGTAGCTGCATGACCACAGCCTGTGCTAATAGCCACAACATTTCAGTCCATTGAATTCACGGGTAACACTAATATATCTTCTAAAAGGAATCAAATTTGACTTTTCTAAACTCATTTTTTTTTTCTTTTAGATAAATGATGTGCTTGCCCTTTGAGTACACTACTCCTGGGGTTTGGAAAGTAGTTTTTTAAAATCTACTTTGATGATTTTGAAATAAGAGAAGATATTCTCTTCTTTTTTTATGACAGCTTCATGTGAAGAATATATATTTTAAGGAAAATTCTAAATGGGAAAGTTCTATGGCATATTAACATACTGAATAATGAATGTTAGCTTTAAAAAATGGAAAATTTTCTTCCAGGTGTGTGGGTGTTGGAGGTGTTGAGTCAACCTCCTTTAACTATAGTAGGCATCATAGTGATAAAGTTTTCAGTGAAGTGATGTGAAAATGAATACTGCACAAACCTACAAGGGTCAGAAGATCTCAGAGATGGAGTTTCATACTCTGCTAAACACTGCCATACACTAAGCTGTTAATGAGAGAAGACAGATCCCAGAATTAATCTAGAAATGTACACTTTCAGGAAACAGGAAAGGTGATATCTATGTGGAACCAGAATTTCAAAGTCTTATGTATATTTTCTCACATCCCACCATGTGTGCATCATATGTAATTGATGTGTAAAGATGATCATGTGTTTGTAATAGAAGAGAAAATATTTTTACTTTGAATGGGTCATATGACTGTATTCATTCTAGATGTAACTGATCAAATGTTCAGCCTAGACAATCTCCTGAAGGCAAAAATGCAAAATAGTCAGCACTAATAAGTCATACACCTATTCCTCAGTTTGTTCAATAGTCCGTTTTTAGGAGCTGGGAGCAAGTACAGCTTTCAGGGCAGAATCTATTTGAGTCTGCTTATGATACTCAAACAAGATAGGACTTTTTCATGGTTCCTTTCCTTTTTCTGTTAGTGTTAGCTGGTTTTCTGTTGGTTTTGAAAAGAAAAGTGTACAATTATGGTAATGTAACCCTCTAAGAATTAATAAACAGACAACTTACATTCCACAATAAAAGATAAAGCCCTTTAAAAGTATATTGAGCATGTGGAATTTAATAAAAATGAATAAATCAATCTCAGAAAAGCCTTTCATTCTGTAAAAAACAGAAGTCACACCCTTAAACCAGCCAATTAAATTGCATTGTGTTTAAAGGTTTGAGTAAATTCTCAGTTGAACCTTTCTATATCTTCTTATTGTGTCTAAAACATAGGGTTTGTTTAATTAAATTATCTTAATTATTTTCTCAGAAAGTGTTATGTACAAATTCTGGTTTTTGAAATAAAAGTCTTAACCATTCACTTGTGTATCTCTCATTCCTCACCAGAGGTTCCCTTCATTTGAAATATCCATGAGAACATTCTCAGCTGCTTTCCATTAGATGACCTGAAGCAGCCACCCTGCCTTTGTCAGGAGGAAGAACTTTATCTCTAGAGACCAACTTACTTTGTGTCTTTGTTAAGGTTTTCATTGTTGTGAGGAGACACCATGACCACAGCAATTCTTTCTTTAGGAAAACATTTCATTGAGGTGGTTTGCCTCCATTTCCTGTCTGTTGGGATCATAATGTTATCATAATGGTAAGCATGGCTGCACAAGGCAGACCTGGTGCTGGAGGTCAGAGTGATATATTTTGAGGGCAACAGGAGGTTAATCGAGACATTGGGTGATACCCTGAGCATAGAAAACCTCAAAGCCAAACTACATAATGACACATTTCCTCCAACAAGGCCATACCCACTCCAACAAAGCCACACTTTATAATAGTGACACTCCCTATGAGGTTATGGGGAAAATTACATTCAAACTAATACACTCCACACCCTGGCCCCCATAAGATTTTAACAATATCATAATATAAAATGCATTTAGTCCAAATTCAAAGGTCCCATAGTCCATCACAGTCTCAAAAATGTTTCAAAGTCTCTTCAGAGATTCAAGCAATGTCTTCACTGTAATAATCTGTAAAAATCAAAATCAAAACTCAGATCTTACTTCCAATATTTAATGGCACAAGATATGCTTTACCATTCCAAAATGCAGGGGAGAGAATAGTGAGGAAATATTGGACCAAAACAAGACCAAAAGCTAACTGGGCAAACTCCAAGCTCTACATCTCCATGACTAACGTCAAAATAGTCTTCAGATCTACAACTCTGTTCAGCAATACACTTTCTTATATTGGGCTCACTCCACTCCCTGTTAACAGCTCATCTCAGCAGGTATCCCATAACTCTTGATCTCTAATATATTGGGTTCTCCAAGGAAGTCCTGGCTTCAACTCCACAGCTTCTCTCCTAGGCTTACCTTCACTTTAGGGATACCCCTGACACATATCTGGCTCAGCAGCTTCTTTTAGGTGCAGAGACAAATTTCATAACTCATGTCTTCCATCTTTATATCTTAAGCCAGAACCATATGGCTAAAGCTGCCAAGTTCTGCTACTTACTGGGGCTGGAACATGACTCCCTCATTCAATGAAAACTTAAATTGATTTTTTGTCCCTCACTACCTGAACTTGGCTGTACTGCAACTGGATCTCTAGACCAGGCTAACCTCAAACTCAGAATTCCACCAGCCTCTGCCTTCCCAGTGCTTGGATTAAAGGTGTAATCCACCTTTAATCAGATCTCAGCTTTTCTTTCATTTCTTTTCAGAAGTTGGAAACTTAGCTGGGCAGGATCTTGCCCTTAGGTCTCCACTCCTTATGTTTCATTTCTTAATGCATTTATCTCCTTGAACACAGAACTTATTTCAATTCTGTTTCTTGCTGCTCTTTCTCTTCTCAAAATAATTTTATAATTTACCCTGCTTAGCTTTCTCCTTTTTATTAAAAATCTAAATAAGC